CATTTTCTCATATTAATTCTATTCCCTTCTTTCCTTTCCCCTACCCCTCCCACTTCCCCTTCCCCTTTGCCCCTTTTCTTCCTATTTCACTTTATCTATTATATCCTTTCTCTGTTGATTGGCCTTTGCTCCTCTGCCAAGAAATCAGTTTAACATCTTTGTGAGTCTATTTCTGAGTACTCTATTCTTTGTCAGTGCTTTCACTAATATCATACTATCTTGATTACTGGAGCTTTTTTCTTTCACAGTACTGCTGTATCACCATCTCTTTTTACTTTATGAGACAGAGTCTTGCTAAATTGCTGGTCTTGAACTTGCAGTCTCCTTGCCTCAGCATTCTGCATAGCTGAGATTACAGACATGTGCGGTTTCTATGACTTTAGATTAAGTCTCAAAATTTGGTAATGTAAGTTCTCCAACCTCATTCTTTGATATTGTGCTGGCTACTCTGGTCCTTTGCCTTTTCATTTAAATTTGACAATCTGTCATTATCTACACAGTAACTTGCTGGGGATTTCAATTAGATTGCATAAGCAGTAGATTAAGTTAGGAAGAATTGACTGCTTGGCAGCATTGAATCTTTCTTAGCTATTTACTTTTAAATCCCAGATTGAACCCACAATCAGGCATTGTATTCAGCTGTCATGTCTCTTTTGTTTCCTGTAATCTGGCCAACCTTTCTTTGTCTCTTGTGTCATTGACATTTTTGAAGGCTATTTTATGAATTGTCCTTTAGTCTGGTCCCCCTACCCCCATAGTTTCCTTTTGAAAAGTTTTAAAGTATACACCCTTTTGGCAGGAGAACAGTACAATGATGTTTTTTCTTTTCCTTAGCCCAGTACATCTCAGTAGGAGGCAAACGCTGTTAGCTTGTACCATTTTGTCTTTTCTTGTTAACTATATATTGAACAGATCTTTAACTTGTCTATTTTGAGCCCGAGGCTGATCTGGTATGTAGAGTAACAGTGCTGCTGAGTCAGAATGCCATTTATATTCTGCGATATAAATGCACTTGTTTCTGGGCTTTCCTCATTGGTTGTTTAGGTTTCAGTTTTCCTGGGTCTCTCAGGTCATTTCTTCTTGTCCATGTACTATAGTATCTACTTCATCTGATCTCCAGCTTCCAAATTTAGGTTGCTCTTATTTTCTCTGTTCTCTTTACCCTTATAGAATTGTGCCTTTCTTTTTTTTTTTTTTTTTTTTTTTGTACCGGGGATCGAATTCGGGTCCTTGCGCTTGCGCAGCAGGCGGCGAAACCACTGAGCTGAATCCCCGGCCCTAGAATTGTGCCTTTCTAAAAATAACTTCATTAGCAAAGCCAGATCCCCACAAAAAGTCAGAATAGTGGTTAACTCTTGTACGGAAAAGCAATAGCGTAGGCAAGGACATGAGGTATTACAGGCAGGGTTCTATAAAATATCTATCTGGATTAAGATAGTGGTTACATGGGTAAAGGTGTACATAAAAAAAATGAGGCATAAACTTTAGGCAGCATTTTATTTTCGTTTTTTTTGAGACGGTCTCACAGTGTAGATCAGGCTGGCCTTGAACTCTCAGCAATCCTACTCCTGAGAGCTGGGATTATAGGCTTGTACCACCATGCACGAACAACAAGAGGGCATTTTATGCATTTAAATATATGCATGTTATACCTCAAATATCACTTGTCGCTATCATTTTGGTGAAGTATTGAGAGAGAACAAGTAAACACATAGGTTCAATTTATTGTCTTTAACAGTGTTTTGGAACAACATGGATTTAGTGATTTAGTGTATGAAGACCAGCCAGCCCTAGGGTGCTGTGAGACTGAAGAAAAAAGGTTGACAGATCTAGTATTGTACAGAATATGCTTTATTGGGGGACATACTGACTGAAGAAGCATAGACCTGGACTCCAGAGACACTGGTGTGATCCCTAGTTTGGGTCAAAAGAAGGGCATATTTATGAGTTATGCTCCTAGCTGGAACACACTTGGTTTATTTGTATATGAAGAGCCAGGTGAAGTGGAACATGCCTGTAATCCTATCACCTCAGGGGGCTGAGACAGAAGGGATAACAAGTTCAAAGTTTGGCCAGTTTTATGACTTAGCAAGAACCTCTCTCATAATATTTAAAAAAAAAAAAAGGAAAAGAAAACTGGCTGGGGATGTAGCTCAGTGTGAAAGCTCCAGGTTCAGTCCCCAGTGCAAAAAAAGATATTATCTAAGAGTCAAGTGCATCCTGGGAGCCAGGGACTAGATGTAAAGCTCCATATATTAGTGGTTTCATTGGTTATAGTTTTTTGGGAAAATATGACTGAAAAACCTAGTAGGATTACTCTGGCGCATGAATGGTAGTTATAACTAAAGATGGCTGCCATCATGTCAAACTGCATCCATACAAATAAGAACTGGATCTTAAAAATCTAGATTGAAAAAAATGAAAAAGAGACCATAATTAACATGATTCAAACTTATCTAGTGCTATACTAATATTTCTGTTTCTAACTTTAACCTGTGGTATAATTGAGAACTAGAAAGTATAAATTGTCATTAATCCAATTTTGTAAGGATATTTGGTATATATATATTATATTTTTAATGGAATTCCAAATACTTTCATGCATCTATAGACATGTAGATAATTAAACAAAACTAGTAGATATTTGAAGAAAAGTTTCTTTGTGAATAAAATGCTTTTCTAATTTATAGGTATAAAGAAAGTTCTCCAGAGACACAGATTGTCAGGAAGTTGCCATGTAGTTACATTTCAACTTGAATTTCAGATTCTGGAAATACAGGTAAATTAAGGTGCATATTGTGATAACAAATATTTTTTCTGTGAGATAAACAATTCCCATCCCACAGATTCCAGCAGTGGCTGAGATAAGGAGTTCATGAGCCAGGGCTCCCTTGTTGCACATTTGTACTGTTTAACATTTTTAAAGAAAAACACCTCAGCAACTGCACATGATAAGGTTGTTACTGAGGCCATAGACACTATTTAATTAAATTAATTAATTAATTTTACAGTACTAGAGATTGAATACAGGGCCTATAGCCTTTGCGTGGAGTAATCCTAGCCTTTTTATGTGTATGTGTGACATTGTCTTGCTAGTAGGGTGTTGTTTTGAGAACTGGAATGGAGCTGATGGGCCAGCCATCTATTTTCTACTAATTATCTGCTTAAAAAATTTCTTTAACATTTAGCATACTGAAACAAAAAAAATTACCTCACTCATTTGTGTGGTTTTTTTTTTTTTTTTTGTACCAGGGATCGAACTCAGGTCCTTGCACTTGTGAGGCAGGCGGTGGAACCACTGAGCTAAATCCTCTGCCCTCATTTGTATGTTCTTGTTCAGGGCTTCTCATGTGGTCATGATCATCTGCCAACATAGCCAGCTGAAGTTGTTTAGGGACAGATGATCCACAAGATGTACTGGACTAAGGCACAACACAAGGAGGGAGATACCTTTGGCCAAGGCTTTAATATATAATCAGGAAGCAGACAGAATGGTAATATATAGCCCTATTCACCAGGATAGGGCAGAGCAAGGTGAGACACCTTCAAAGGCTAGTACAGAGAGGAGTAGGATCTAGGCATTGTTTTGAGGACTGAAATGGGGCATGTGCTTTGATCACAGAAAGCAGTTTCAAACAGCTGGGCTATAGGGACTATATAGAAAAGAGGAACAGAAGAGGGAAGGACAGGCAGGCTACCTTGGCATCAGCTCATCAGATCGATACAGTGGATATAGAGCAATTGTCACAGTTGTGTCCTGTGGACAAGCTGCCTTCATGTGCTCAGGGTCAGGTACCAGGATTCCTCATCCTTGTTGCCAGTGTTCTCAGCCACAAAAACAGCCTCAAGCTGTCGGCTTTTGATTAGAATAGGAGTTGGTCAGGGAGTTAAGACCCTCCTCCTTGGATGTTAGACAGCCACCTCCTCACTAATTCCAAGGATGGGGTCCAGGTATCTGGGCCTGAAGGTTTTACAGTTGCTATCATAGAACTGGGCCTGGTGAGGATAGGCTAGGGAATATTTCGGCCCCTGGTCTGATGACAGAATTCCTAGCATGCATTCGTGTCTGTATCACCCTTCATTACTGCCCAAGTGGCTGAGAAGATGCAGTGTGGAATTCCCAAGGTCTGTTGAGCAGGATACAACATAGAGTTGAGAATTTTCATGTGTCACAGGCATGGATAGTGCGTGCTTTAGGGAAGTTAGACTATTTCCCTGCGGGCACCAGGCCTTGGGGCTATATGGGTCATGAAGGTGATACTGTTGTGCATGACAATAAAGATCATGTGTTGAAGGCTGAAATGGAGCATGGCCCCAAATAGCTTGGTAGCATTTGGACTGGAATAGCCTGTGCCAGGACCCCAGTCTTTTCCTTTGGGAGGCCCAAGAACTCCTAGATGTTTTCCCATTGTAGATGGTAGTGTAGTCTGATCAATTATATATTGGTTTTTTTTGTGGCTGCTGTGATCTTTTTTTTTTGGTACTGGGAATCAAACTCAGGACCTTGCACTTGCAAGGCAGGCGCGGTGCCATGGAGCTGAATTCCCAGCATGCTATGATCTTGACATCAGTGGGATACAGTTTTTCTCCTGCATGTTCTCCTGATACCCATTAATAGGCTAGACCTATAATCCATGTCAGGTTGGTGAAGTCATAAGTGTGAGGTCCAGTTCCTTTTTTTGGAAACTTCTTTAGTATATACATTGTCCAGGAAACTGCTCAGGGGCATCCTAGCAGTCTTGGGGTCTTGCAGGCTTTTTTTGGTATAGGTGTTGTTTCATGGATTATCTGGAGAGAAGTAAAACTCTGGGCAAAATTAGTCTTACCCTTGGAGAATTTTATTTATTTGTTTGTGGTGGGTTTTTTTTGTTTTTTCTTTTGTTTTTTTTGAGATAGGATCTCACTATGTAGTTCAGACTGGTCTTGAATTCACTACGTAGCCCAGGATGGCCTCAAATTTGTGGCAGTCTTTCTCCTTTAGCCTCCCAAGTGCTGGGATTGCAGGCATGTACCACCATGCCTAACTTTGTTCTTGGGAGATTTGAAATCTGAATAGAAAGATGACTGACCTCTTAAAGTTGAGATGAACAATGGAATGGTACTTTCCAGGATGAGTTGTGTCCAAAGATTGATTGTTGTGCTCATTAGTGGGGGTATGGCCTGAGAGATAACTGTGATATTTTAACCTCACTTTAACTTGCATGCTTATGTCATCTCACCCAGTGAAAAGTTGGGACAAGAAAGAATAAATATTTCCAGACAAGTAGCAGTGTCTGTCCTGTATGTTTTGGGAAATGCAGGAGGAAGAAATCTGAGAATAACTATTGCTGCTCTTTGAAAGACAGAACCCAGTAATGGCTGAATCTCTAAAAGGACATGAGTTGTTGTTCACATTTAAGTGTGTTGGTGTTTGGGACTGTTTGGTTTTACTACACTGTGGTGCAGAAAAAGTCTACTCTTCCTGGCTGTGTTAAGAACCAGCAGTTTCTCTGCAAGCCTTTTTAATTTTTCTATTCTTCTTGAACACTTGATTGGTAAGCAAAATGTTGGACACAACTGTAGGCAGCTGTGGAATGAGCAGGAATTTAGGGATCCATCGTGTGGGATTCTCCAAGAGGTCTTGCTTGCAAAGGAGAGGGAGCAAGGATTTTCTTGTTTTTCTTTGTTGCTTAGAATTCTGATGTAATGGGGTGATGAGAATTGCTTTTAAAATTTTACTACTTACTGGTAAATCCTACCATATTCTAGTCCTATTGTATAAGTATGCTTTTAGAAATACATCTCTATAGAACTGCTAGGTCAAAGGAAATGTACATATGATTCTGACTGATGATGCCAATTTGCTTTCTAAAATGGTTTTACCATTTTACATATTGAGCATTTTTTTACTATTGAGACTGATAGGAAAACATGAAGACAATCATTCTGTGTTCTCATTTTCTAAAATCAAACTTTCCACTAGAGGGAGATGTTTAACTGCCAGAAAAAGTACAGTAATCTAAATAATAAATCTTCAAAATATTGTAAATATTTATTATTAAATAATAAAATCTTACTAATACTACAGTATTTGGACCAAAGTGACATAAAATCATATTAATAGAATATGAGAATCAAAAGTGACCCAAAAGATTGTTTTATAGGAAAACCTATGCAGAGTATGTGTGATAACATGTGTTGGCACAGCTATTTTTGTCAAAAGTGGCCGAAACACTGAGCTCTTTTTCTTAAAATTGCCTGGTTTTGTCAGCACTATGTGTATGAGGAACTGCAAGGCCATCAGAATAAACTTGCATAACGTCAGCCTTACATTGTCCGTGTAGCACAGTGAGGCAGACCAATGGGAGTGTTTAGGAAACGGGGCAAATTAAGTATGATTGTATAACTTTTCTCCCTGAAGCCCAATAAAATGAACAAAATGACTAAAAAATAGTTTTTTTTAACAAAATGAAAAGAATGCAATCCCATTATCACAGGCACCAAAGAAAATCTGGTTGTTACAACATTTGAAACGAAACATTGAAACTCAATACAGGATTTTTCATGAGAGATATATAAATTTTACAAAGTTAATGAGACCCTTTTCTTATTCACAATCCTTAAGTTGTGGAGAAGAATGATAACTGTGGGCCTGTAACCATGGTACAAAGGCATGAGCTGCTGAGACTCATCCAGGCACTAGGAGATCAGGCTGTATATAAGGTCCCTTCCTTCCCTGTCTACCAACTAGGGAGGAGTAACCTGGTTAGCAGGACCACAAGCAGGAGAGAGATGTAAAAATAGTATCTTAAAGTTAGCTTTCCAGTGGCTAAGCAGAATCTGCAACCTACCAAAGGGGAAGAAAAGAGGTACCAATAAATCCCAGACTTTGTGTTAACAGTGACCAGCCGGTCCCATTGAGCAAAAGGCCAAAATCTAACACACACACACACACACACACACACACTCTCAAACTAGAAAAGATGTGCTTCTGAGATTTTTGTTTTCTTTTTTGTTTCCTTTCTTTCTCTCCTATCACCCCCCTGCCCCTTTACTCACCCCTAAGTAACCACTAATCAGCTTTCTCTCTGTGCATTTTCTTATTTTGGACATTTCATACAAATGAACCATGTAATATGTGGTGTCTAGTATCTGGCTTCTTTGACTTAACCATGTTTTCAAGGTGAATCCATGTTGTAACATGTGTCAGTAGCTTTTTTTTTTTTCTGAAATAATAATCCATTTTGTTTGGATATACTCCATTTCTTTATCCATTCCATTAGTTGATAGAAATGATTTTTTTTCATTTTTGAGGCTGTTATGAGTAATGCTGCTATAAACATCCATGAACAAGTTTTTAAGTGGACATATGTTTTTACTTGGCACTATAACTTGGAGTGTAATTAAATGAAACTACTAGATGATGTCTGATGATGTTGAGCATCTTTTCCTGTGCTTATAGCCATTTGTATATGAGTTTGGAGAAATGTCTGTGCAAATCCTTTCCTCAATATTTGAGTTTTTTGTCTTTTTAAAAATTGAGTTGTAAGAATGCCATGAATTTGTTTCCATAAGGTGTGGTGGTAGATGCCCACAGAGCCTAAAACCCTAACCCTACTTAAATGGCATCTGTTCCTACCAATTTCTACTGTATCCTCAAGCAGATGAAAAACTAAATAAAGGTTATAAACCATTAGTACCCATTCTCCAACAGCTCAGAGTATAAGAAAATGTGTCAGATGTTCTCCAGACAAATGCAAAAGATAGTCAAAGAGCATCCACTTGCTCTAGTCTTAGGAAATACCCAAAATGTCTAGATTTACTACTATTAATAACAAATAAGAGCCACAGAAGTGAAAGCACAAACATTGTACAGAGTTCTTTTATCATATTGGACAAAGTAGCCTAAAATCTAAAATCATGGCAAAATCAGTGCCATGAAAACAAAGGAAGTTAATAAGAAAATGAAATAAATTTACTTGAGTTTGCAGATGAAATAACAATCCTTATTATTGGGTATAGAATTGTTTTTGGCTTTTTGTGATAAGTAGCACGGTTACAAATATCTTTATTCATAAGCTTTGTCTTCATTTATTATTACTTTACATAGATTCTTAGAAGTCAAATTGCTGGGACAGAGAAGATGAATATTTTATGAATATTCATTGTCAAAATGATTTTTAGAAGGATTATATCAGCTTGGTTTTAGTGTATGTTTACCAGTCATAACTTTTTTGGGAAATAGGTGGAAATGATAGAACCCAGGGGCTCTCTACCACTGAGCTGCACATCCCACTTCTTTTTAAGGAATTTTATTTTATTCTCTGGTATCAGGGATCAAACCAAGGACCTTGCCCTTGTGAGGCAGGCACATGCCACTGAGCTAAATCCCCAGCCCTGAAGAATTTTATTTTGAGACAAGGTGTCGGTAAGTTGCCCAGGCTGGCTGTGAACATGTGATCTTCCTGTCTTAACCTCCCAGTACCGAGGATTCCAGGTGTGCGCTGCCACACCTGGCACCAACAATAACATTTTTAAATCTTTGCTCATAGGTAAAAATGTCACTTAATTGTTTTAATCTACATTTATATTAGTATTATTGAGCAGAGCATTTTATAGGTAAATTATTATTTTTCACTTTTAAATTTTTTTAGTTCACATTCTTTGCCTTTTTCTTTTCAGTTTTCACTATCAAGGTTATGATAAACATTTTCCTCAATTTATTTATTTATTCATTTTTTTCCTGGTACCAGGGATCAAACTCAGGACCTTGCATTTGTGCTCAGGCGCCAGAACCACTGAGCTAAATCCCTGGCCCCTTTCCTCAATTTATTGCTTTTCTTTTATTACGAAGTCATTTTTTATGCTTATTTTGAATTTTTATGTAATCATTTTTGCTAATTTTTTTCTGTTTGTTTAGACAGTTTCTCTTGACTTAGTCATAAGTTAAATAATATTTCCTCCTAGTATTTTGTGATTTCACTGTTTAAGTAATTTGGAATTCATTTTGAGTTTTAGTGTGGAGTAAAGAGCTGATTTCATTCTTTTTTTGTTGTTGTTTGTTTTTGGTACCAGGGATCGAACTCAGGACCTTGTGCTTTCGAGGCAGGCAGCGGCACCACTGAGCTAAATCCCCGGCCCCTGATTTCATTCTTTTAGAAAATAACTAATACTTTCAATATCATTTCTTGATTCTTACTATTTTGTGGTATTTCATTTTATATAGCATAAAAGTATTTCTGTCATTTTATTTTAAAAGTTAATTTGCTGTGGGCCGGGGATTTAGCTCTGGTTCTTCTGCCTGCCTCACAAGCAGAAGGTCCTGAGTTCGATCCCTGGTACCAAAAAAAAAAAAAAGTTAAACTTTGCTGTGATACTTTTTTTTTTAATCTTTATTTTAGAATAAGGAGAATTTATCTTCTGTCATTACTGACCTCAGCATAGTAATGGAGCCCACAGAATACTCAGAATTAAGTGAATTTGTGTCTAGGTAAGCTATTTTAAAATTTATTATTCTAGGGAATATTTTCACTCTACAGTTTTATGTTTACCATATTTTTTTTTCTTAATAAGTAAATACATCTTCTCTGAAGGCATAGAACCATTACTATGGCTTATATTTAAAAACATATTTCCTATGTATGAGTCATTCAGTACATATTTGTTTTATGTTCATTGTGTGCTGGGCATCAGAATTAAAATATGAGAAAAAATGTACTTGATTCTCATGGAATTTATAGCCTATTGGAGATGTTGGGTAGTAATTAAATAATTATAGAAATGAATGTGAAATAATGACATGCTAGAGTTACTGTTAAAGCCTATATTGGGAATCTGTCATGGAATGCCATGGATTGGTTTCTGAAAAATGAATTGAATGAACTAACAAAGCCGTCTTAGACACAAGGGTAGGAAGAAAACCAGGAATGTATTGTGTGTCTCACAAGGTCTTCTGCCCACACTATGCTGCAGAAGTAGCATCTGCTGTTTGGAAATTACAAAGGAAGATTACTGGGGTATGTGTCCTCCTGTATGAGTGGGCATTCATAGTTACTTAATAAACACTTGCTCTTGGGTTCTTGGGTAATTAATTCTCTGAGATGGGGTTCTTGCTTTTTGAAGAGTCACCAGTGTTTGAGAAAGGGAGGTGAACATAGGTCAGAAGACCTGAATTTTAGTCCAGATTCTGACTTCGTGTAAGTTGCTTCTTTTTTTAAATTTCTTTGCTCTTTGTCTCTGCTATTATGCAATTTAAATACATTATTCCTAAATGTGAACTTACTTTTATTTTCCATTGCTTATCTGTAGTTTTTCAGATTGAAGATTGATATCTGTAATTTTTGGAAATTTATTATTTTTTATTGACATTTGCTCTACCTTGACTATCCCTTCACATTAAAGGCTAACCATTTCACTTAGAAGAACAACGGTGTGCTTTCCATTTTTCTCTAACCATTGTGCTACTGTTGTCATGCAGCTTACTTTGAATATATGATGAATGTCTCAGTGCATTACTATTTTTCCTTTAGCCAATTATTATTATTACTATTATTATTTTGTTTGGTACCGGGGATCGAACTTGGGTCCTTGCACTTGCGCAGCAGGTGGCAGAACCACGGAGCTAAATCCCAGGCCCTAGCCAATTATTTTTAAAGCATTTACAAATGAGAAAGAAATTTGTATATTCATCTTCATTTTTTTAAATCACTTCCAACATTCTTCATTTCTAATTGGTGTATATGCCATTTTTCTTAAGAACTTCCTTTTTATTGTGCTGGTCTATTGTAATGAAATCTATCAGCTTTTGTTTCTCTGAAAAGTCTTCATTTGCCTTCATTTTTTGAAAGGTATTTTTGCTGATTGTAGAATTCTGGTTGACAGCTTTTCTTTCAGATCTTTAAAAGATAACCTTCCAGTGGGGCATAGTAAATGTACATTATAATCTCAGTACTCTGAGAGGCTGAGGCAGGAGGATTGCAAATTGTAGCCTAGCCTGGGCTATTTAGCCATTTAATAAGAAAAAAAAATTTTTTTTAAAAATTGGTATCAGAGATTGAGCTCAGGACCTTGTACTTGCCAGGCAGGCGTGGGACCACTGAGCTATATCCCTGTTCCCAAAAAAAGTTTTGAAGAAGGCTAAGAATGTAGCTCAGTGTAAAGCCCCTGAGTTCAATCTCCAGTACCTCAAAAAAAGAAAAAGAAACATTTCATTGTCTTCTGGATTGTTGTTTGTGACATCTGCTGTAATTATTATCTGTGTTTCTCTGTATGAGTGTATCATGTAGTGTGTGTATATTTGTGGGGTGCCTTTCAATCTTTCTGTTAATTTTGCTTTTCCACAGTTTGTTCCATGTCTAAAGTATATGTGTAAAAAAATTTTCAAGTGTGTATTTTCAAATGTCAATTGTGCTCTGTTCTCTATTCTTCTGCAATTCTGATTAGCTGATTTGCATATGTTAGCTCACAGTCTTTGGATTCTCTGTTCTATTTGTGTTTCGCTTTGGATAATTCATTTTAATTTCGTGTGTGTGTGTGTGTGTGTGTGTGTGTGTGTGTTGAGGGGTTACTGGGGATTGAACCTAAAGCTTTCTCACTGAGCTACAGCTCCAGCAGTGTATATTTTTTTTGTTTTTGTTTTTTTCTATTTTGAGACAGGGTCTCACTAAACTGCCCAGGCTGGGCTCAAACTTGCAGTTCTCCTGCCTCAGCCTCCCAGTGCTGGAATTAAAGCCTTATGCCACCACTCCTTCTTTTCTCCTTCCCTCCCTCCCGATGTTGATAATGATGATGGTTTTTCACTGTGTTGCCCAGATTGGACAATCCTCCAGCCATAATCTGAGTAGTTGGGTTTATAGGTGTGTGCCATTAATGTATCTGCAAGTTCCCAGATTCTTTTGTCCACTGAAATACAATCCTTATCTCTTGTAATGTTTTTATTGCTAACCTTTCCATTTGATTCTTAATTTAATTTGTGTTGAAATTTCCCATTTGTTTACATATGATCCTCCACATCTAGATCTTTTAGGGTTTTTTTAAAATTCGTTAAGTTTATTGGTACATTTTAGGTATATATATTTTTTGTTTTATGTTACTTGGTACTGGAGATTGAACTCAGGACCTTAACACTTGCAAGGCAGGTGTGGTACCACTGAGCTAAATCCCCGGCCCTTTTTTAGGTATGTATTATGATCACATTATCACATTCATCATTGGGAATTTGTACCTGTACAGGAGTACATTATATATCTTGGTTCTTGTTTTTTCCCCATTCCCCTTCCCTCCCTAGTTACGAAAACTTTGTTTCTCATATTTTTTTCTTTCTCTTCTTTCCTTTCCCCCACCTCCCTCCCTACTTCCCCTTCCCCTTTGGACCTTCTCTTAGATCTATTAGTTTATTAATCAGTTATTTTAAGTCCCTGTATAGCAATACAGTACCAGCTTCTGAGTCATCTTTGAGTCTGGTTCTGCTGATTTGTTTACAGTGAGTCTTTTCTTCAATTTTTGTGTCTCATAATTTTTGGTTGAATGATGGACACTGAAAGATCATTACAAAATGAAGTAACTAGTATTCATGCCATGGTTTTTATCACATTATTAGCGTATGGGGTTAACTCAAGCTAGTCCTCAGTTGAGCTGAGTTGGGATTATTGTTGCTTTCATTGCCTTTGGGCATCATAGCTTTTTTTTTTTCTCCAATAACTGGAAGCATTTATTAAAAAGCAACCACTAGGGGCTGGAGATTTAGCTCAGTGGTTTTGCCGCCTGCTGCGCAAGCACAAGGACCCAAGTTCGATCTCCGGTACAAAAAAAAAAGCAACCACTAAATGCCAATTTGCGGTGAAAGAAATGTGGCCAGTGACAACATCATAATATATGTAAATATATGAATATTAAAATTGTCATGTAGAAATAAAACACTTTAGAACCTGAGAAATCTTGAAGATCTTCTAATTAGTCTAATTGTCTCAGTGTATAAATTAGAAAACTTGAAAATAACCAGTCATTGCACATTAGTACAATTACAGATAATTTTAAAATTAACTCTTGGGTAAGAAGTGGTTTTTAAACATTTTCACTTTTACATCAAATTAGTTATTGATTACATGTATTGTAAAATAAAGCAGATCTTCCCACTTCACAACTCATGTTAGATTTAACAGTCTCTTCACTGACTCCTTGTACTGAGAAAGGGTAATTTCATTTTCCCCTTCATTCTTAAGACTAACAAGAGACTTTTGATAATTTTCAACCTCTTTAGTACCAAGGAGCTCTTCTTTATTTACTTCCATGTTTTTATCAGCAATGCTAATTTGGAGAAATGCTTCCAGGATATTTTTTTCTGAGGAGCTATTTTTCCATATATATTCTTCCATGTCTGCTTCAGTCTTATTTTTTTCCCATTCTTCAGTTTTCCAAGATTCATGGTATGATACTATCAGATACAGTGCATAATCATAGTTCTGTCTCTTTAAAGGGCATCTATCTGTTTTGATGGTGAGTACATCTGTAGTCTTGCAGTATCGTTCTCCTACAAGTTTAATCAATTTCTTCTTTGCATGATCATCTAAATTCAAACTGGAAAGTTTCACACTTAAGGTTGCTCCTCGTGCTTTGGGGTTTCGAACAGATGGTCCTAATGAAACATAATCCGCAGTGTCAGTTTCAATTGGAAAATGCTTCACACATTTCTCATCACTGCCTAGTGCAGCTGGCCACTCGGTGCAGAAATCTTTTAAGAGCTTAGCAGTGCTTTTTAATTGCTACAGGAGTCAAATGCAGAAAATTAGGGATCTTTAGAAGTTCTAGATTTCCTTCCTTTGCCATAGGAACACCCATTTTCACTGGATAACCCATCCGAACAGGGAGAGGCACTGCAGAGGGCTTAAAGGGCCCTGCAACAGGGTAAACACTAGGCCAGTCCTGGTCAACAGCCATTTTTTCTGTTCTAAGAGGTAGTGCCTGTCTTCTCATTTGCCTTTCACTTTTGGATGTTCTTTCTCCTGTATGCGGGCTAGGTCTCCGAGCGTGAGTGGCCAGGGTCACGGCGGTGGAGAAGGCCTGCAAGGTGAACCGCCACAGGAGCACTGCGGCCGCCATGGCTGCAAGAACGGCAAGCCAGAAGGCTGGGCATCATAGCTTTATGTTCTTCCAGAATCAGGCATCAAAGCTTTATATTCTTTTTTTGTTTGTTTGTTTAAGACAGGGTCTTGCTATACAGTGCAGGTTGGCCTTGAACTCAGAGAAGTACTACTGCCTCAGCCTCCACAGTGCTAGGATTACAGGCATGCACTACCATGCCCAGCTAATAGCTTTACATTCTTCCAGAAGTTGGCTACTACCATAGTACCCACTACTTAAAATGGGGCCTTGGGAGCTACAGAGTTTTCCTCAGTGTTCCAGCTCCACTGCCAGCTTTCAACAATCTCTATACCTGTGACTCAGGGAACAGTCTTTCTCCAGCAAGCCTATTGGTACTTGTTACTTAGTGCC